TCGCACAAACGTTCGTAATTGGTTCATTAAAAAACTTGCATGAATGGCACCAAAAACCAAGGTGATCAAACGAAATAAAATGTACACAATAGAAGATTTTCGATCTGCAGTTAACAGTTACTATCAAAAATAATAGAATTAGGTATAAAAAACAAAATACATACTTAAAAGAATAATTTTCATTCGAATCGAAAGTTTGTTGATGTCTGCTTCGTTGAAAACAGCTATGACCCGGAAACAGTTCATTTTACTGTGTGCACCCTGATACTATGTAACAGTGCTTTTGATTGGCTAAAGCCTCGCAATGACGCGAAAAACAACCAATCAGAATATTTGTTCCAAGAAGAACACAAGTAAATTTATTTCTTCCACTAATGATGCGAGTTGAAAGCATGGCCGTTTTTACCAGGGTTTTTAAATCGATTTAAAGAAAATTCAACTTTAAATAGTGACATTTAAATATAAACATTTACGTGTTCAAGCAAGCATTCATGTGGACTTCTTGGTGATCAGCAATGTCTGTGATGGTACATCGGCTGCGTTGGTCGTTTACCGATCATGCAAGTGCATAGCTGCCTTTGTTCGACTCGGCGGTGACGATGTTGCCGCTACCGCTAGTCTTGGTTTTAATCATAGACATTATGTTTTAACAAATGGTTGTAGCGATAACGATTTTATATATTTGACGTCACTCTGGCAGTAAAAATGTGGGTACGGTAATGCACTTTACTAGGCCACATGTTCATTTTTAATTGTGTTGAAAAAACATTTTTGTTCGGTGGTTTTATCATCTCACGGTGACCTGCTACGATAACAAGCCGGAATTTTCACAGTTGCACCTTAAAACAATGAACCAGTTACCCTGAACGCAATGAATCATTTTGGAAGACAATGAGTGTTGGCCTGTTTTGTAAACAATTTTTTGTCTGAGACCATGCAGGGCGCACAGGAAATACAACAGGGCGCTGACAATTTAAACAGGGCGCCAATTTCAGATAACAGGGCGCGTCACCCTGTTAAAACCCCTCGTGGAGAACACTGATTAATAAAGAGTTATTATATCGTGAACAACATGTCTGATCATTGGTTGGTTGTTGACTGAAATGGTATTATACTGGGGTCTTCACACTACCCAAATAAGAAGTTTATCACACCCTCCTAGGGACACCCATAGTTATCCAGAGGGGGATAACACAATTGAATTGGGGGCTGGGGTGAGGGTACAAAAGGAATACTTTCCTG